CTGCGTCACCACAGGCCCATAATGAAGAGCCCTGGAAACAATGAAATGAAACCTCTGAACCTGTGAGCCAAAATAAGCCTTTTGTCCTTTTGAGCTCATTATCTCAGGAATTCTTTTCACAGTGATAGCTAACACAAATTGTTAAGACATATATAAAAAGATGTAAGTTACATCAAAAATACGAGTTGTGTGGAAGAGGGTTAAAGTACATAATTTTTGTATATGACTGAGGTTCAGCTTTTACCAGTGCAAAAATAGTCTGTTATACTTTTAAAATATTTTGTGTATGGCTCATGATGAGCCACAAAGCAAAAACACTTATGGAGGAACAAACTATAAAGAAAAACTAAACAGCACCAAAGAGATTACAAATTACAAACAATAAAAAGAAATCAAATTATCCACTTGAAAATGACATGATGTTATACAGAAAACTGTAAAGGTAGATGGGGGTGGGTAGGAGGGGTTGAAGGGAGGGCAGGGGAACAGGAAAAAAATAAGAACCAAGAGACATCATGTAAAGGTACAAATATCCAGTGATGAGTGTCATTATATTATATACCTAAAATGTACCAATAAAATTTTAAAATTATAAATCATTTAAAAAATCAGTAAACAAACAATCAGTGGTCGGGCTGTAGCTCATATAGAATGTGTTTAACGAAACAAAAATGAAATAAAAAACCCCAAATAAATAAACAGAACACAAGGTGTCAGTAGGGCTGAGCTCCTTCAAAGGCTCTAAGGGAGACTCCATCCCTTCTTTCCAGCTTCTGGTCCTTTCAGCTACTCCTTGGCTGGTGGACGCATGACTCTAACCTGTTTTTGTCTTCACCTTCACTTGGCCTTGTCTTTTGTAGTTTCCTCTCTTCTGTCTCTCGTGAAGAGGCGTGATATTGAATCTAGGGCCCACTTATTTAATCCAATGTGATTTCACCTCTAAATTTTCAGTTTAATTACACATACAAAGATCCTGTTCTCAAAAATACGGTTACACTCACAGGCAATGGAGTCTAGGACTAAGATATATCTTTTGGAGGAGAACAAGTGAGTGTATTACAGTTAGGAAAACACTAAAAACCAAGGACTGTGAAGAAGGCTAGTACTGACAGATATTAAAATTAAATTAATTTTCATTGAAATTAATCAAGGTAGTACATCACATGAATAGAAAAACCAACCACTAGAATAGAAATGAAGGTCCATAAGTATACACAGAGGAATATAGAATTCCAGAATACGATAATGATAGACTCACCAGGGCAAAAACAGTCTTAAACAAACAGTGTTGAAGAATGAGAAAGCCACTTGGACAGAGATCCAATAAATCGACTTATCACACTGCCCTCAAGATGAAACCCTACATTTAGAAGAGATATAAAAATGAAAATATGAAACTAAAAACATACTAAAAGAAACATGGGTGAATTTTTACAATATGACTTTAGGAAAAGTTTTTCTATGCATAAAAATACATGTACTATAAAACATTGACATGTTTTTAATACATTAAATGGATATACTTGACTACTTAACAATTCAAAGAAGAGAAGAACCAGAAAGAAAAGGAGGCCAGAGATGAAAGTAACTTTGCAATGCTAAATTATTATAACCAAAGTCAAAAGAAAAAGGACAAGAAATTTGCAGATAAAAGTCCATATTGCTAATATGCAAGGAATGGAGGTGTGTAGAAATCTTATAAGAAACTGGTTGAGAGACATAAATATACCATTACAAAAAGTAACAGAATGATGCTCAAGAACATGGAAAGCTTTTCAAATTCCTGCACAAAAATAAAGTACTTCTACTCTTTCTCACTCATCACAACTAGTAAAACTCAAGACATAATAATACATTCAGCTGAAAAGACTATGGGAAAATTAGTACTCTGATAAATTGGTATTGGAAATTAAAAGTGACGTACTGTCTTGCTGTGGAAGTTTTCCAAAACATCTGCCTTTCAGTGGGGCAGAAGGATTGGTTTCTGTCTTGCTATATCCACGTAGCAACAGGAAAACAACCTAAATCGGGGATCCCTGAAAACAGACCATGAAACTTGCCCTGGAGTCTGCAGTACCATGGCTAACACATGAACCATATTTACCAGTTGTACCGCATGTAGACACTAGAGGGTGCTCCAGCACCATGACTGTATAACGCCAAAGAAGCCACAGAAAGGGAGGCTCAAATAGAAACCCCCAAACGTAAGAGAGAAGAGGAATTTATTACTCTTGGGTGTAAGGCTAGTCAGCCATAATAAAATTAATCACCATATAACAAGATAAACAACAAAAAGCACATGATCAACTTGATCCATACTGAAAAGTCATTTAATAAAATCCAACACCCTTTTGGAATTAAAAAAATCAATAAACTAAGACCATAAACTAATAGAAAAAGATATATATGAAAGCCTCACATTGCAGATCATACTCACAGAAGAGAAATGAAAGCTTTTCCTCTAATATCAGGAAAAAGGTCAGAAGACCCACTCTCACAACCACTATTCACACAGTGAATAACTAACTAGTGAACAAGCTCTAACTAGAACAGTTAGATTAGAAAAAGAAAGGCACACAAATGGAAAAAGTATATGTTAGTTCTGTTCACAGGTAAATGAGCTTATCTGTAGAAAGACCTAAAGGTAGCATCTAAAAAAGTTATTAGAACCAATGAAAGTAAAATTTCAGAAAAAAAACAAAACAAAATGAGCTGCATTTTATACACTAATAATGACAAACATGAAAAGAAAATTAAAAAAACAATACCATTAACTATAGCATGAAAAAGAATAAAAATATCTAGGAATGAATTTAAACAAAGAAGTGAAAGATATCTACTATAAAAATTACAAAGTATTGCTTAAATAAATCAAAGATATAAACAAATGAAGACAGATTATAGATTGGAAGTCATAATACTGCTAAAATGTCCACGCTACACAAAACAATTTCCAGATTCAAGGAAATCCCTAACAAAATCCTAATGGTACTCTTTGCAGGAAAAGAAAAAAATGACCCTCAACTCTGTAGGAAATCTCAAGGACTCCAACTAGCCAAACCAACCCTGAGACATAACGAAGCTAAAGACCTCATACTTCCTGTCTTCAAACATGTTACAAAATAGTAACAATTCAGATAATGTGGTACTGGCATAAAGACAGATGTACAGACCAGTAGAACTGAAACAGAAAGCCGGGAAATAAACTTCTGAATATACGGCCAAAAAGATTTGGCAAGGGCTCCAAGACTACACAATGGGAAAAAATAACCTCAACAAATGGTGCAGGGACCACTGGATACCCACGTGCAGAAGAATGAAGCTGGGCCCTTATTTTATACACCATTCAAAAATGAACTCAGTATGGACTGAAGATCTAAACACAAGATCTAAAATTATTAAACTCTCAGAAGACAAAGCAGCAGGAATCCAAACACTGAACTGAGCATGACTTCCTGAATAAAAAATATTGGCAATAAAATAAAAAAACAGATAAATGTAACTGTATCAAACTTTAAAACTTCTGTGAGTTACAGGAAACAATTTATGGAATGGGAAAAAATATTTACAAATAATATCTGATATAAGGTTAATATCCAAAATACTGTGGTGCCTTGGTTTATCAACTTAATCTGTTTTATATTTTGGGGAAGATGGCCGCCTTTGTGCTTGTGTGGGGAAGATGGCCGTGGTCATGTTTTTCACCTGACACGGAGTTTGCAAATGGATGCCAAATTTTGCTGAATGCTTTTGTTTGTGAACTGAATTGTTTGCAAATAGAAGTGTTCATGAACTGAGGCATTACTTTATACAAGGAATTTCACCTTAACAAAACTGATTTAAAAATAAGGAAATAATTTTGATACATGTTTCTCCAAAGAAAATTAAAGGTGGCAAGTAAACATAAAAATATGTTTAATACCACTAGTTATTAGGAAAGTGAAAATAAAACCACAATATCTCCAAATACCTTATAAAATCAATTTATATGCTATTTATAACAAATAAGCTTAAATAACATTAGAAAGATTGAAAAGAGAAAAGATTTATAAGTTAACATGGAAAGTAGTAAGAGTCACGTAAGAAAAGTACTCAAAAGCATGAAACAGAACAAAATAAAAAACAAAGCAAAGCAATCAGGAATTATGAGAGAAAGGAGGGGTATGTAAATAGAAAACAAAAATAATAAAAGGTGACAGACACACAAGAGCTGGCAACTGCAACATAATTTAGTGAATCTGACAGGTAGCTGTAGGCAAGGAAAATAAATAGATATGTTATTTAAACAATATTATGAATGAAGTTGGTTATATGTGTTACAAAGACTAAACTCTGAACCTTGTATAAAAACACTGTACCTATTTTTCCAGCAAAATTAGAAGATAACTAAAAATATAAGTAATCAGTTTCAACCAATCTAAAAAGGCACTTATTTCAAAAAGGAAAAAACATCTTTTTTTCTTTGGTACCGGGGATTGAACTTAAGGCAGGCCACTGAACCAATGAGCTAAATCCCCAGCCCGATCATATATTTTTAATTGAATGTGAATTACTAAAACTAGGTCTGATACTATGTCACTTAAAAAATAATGTATATAAGTAAGGAAATGCAGGAAGGCAAACAAATATACATTAATAGCAGTTGTTTATTTCTGGAAAATAGGACTATGGTGAATTTTATTTTCTCCCTTTTGCCTAACTTTACTTTTAAAAGCATCATTATTACATTACTTTTATGATGTGAACGTACTGTAAAATATCAAAATATAATATAAATATTATACTTAAAAATACAAATACAAATGATGCACTTAAAGAAAAGTTCACAGTTCTAAATGCCTATGTCAAGAATAAAGAAAACTAAATTATGCATTCCAATACATTTTAACTCTAAGGGATTGAATCTAGGTGAATACTGCTGACTGAATATAATGTTCAAGTTTCAACAATGAAACCAAATTTTAACATTTTGCATTTGACAGTATACATGGAATACATACATGGTGTTCTTCCTTAACTCCTTCTTCTAGTTGAGCTGCAAATTGGGAGCAACACAGCAAGAACGAACTCTTATCATCAGCAACCTTTTGAAAAGAACAGCAAAATAGAAAGTTACTCTTATTTCATAACCCATCTGTACACTGGTTTATTTCTTGGTATATGTAACTAATTTTTGATAACTTTTTGTGTATGATTTATGTCACCTCAAATATGCAAGACAAGAACCTATGTTTCAAATGTACTAGCAAATTCTCTCTGAAAGAGAATGTGCAAGAAAGTATATTCTGAGAGTGGTTCATTAATGCTACATCTCTCTTCTCATTCTCCTCCACACAACTGCAGAAACTCAAGCAGCCAAGCGAAAATTCTTGAATTTTCTGGGTGGCCTAAAAAGCCACCACTGTGTGCATACCTCTGCATATCTCTGTGTTGGAAACTGAATGTGAGGCTGGGAGAATGTCTCAGTGGCAGGCTGCTTACCTACCTTGTATAAAGTCCTTGTTTGAGCCCCAGAAACACAAAAAGGAAATACAGGAATGAATATGAATTACAACTTTTGACTATAAGTGTACTTGCCAAAAACTGCAGTGTGTCATTCCTTCATGCTGGGCATAGAAACCCTGGGAAAAAAAAAATTAAAACTGGGAGGAAAAAAATAGTTACATATGAACACATCACAATGATTATCTCCCTTCTCATAGGAGTAATTTGTAAATCAGAGAACTGACTCATGCTAAACAAGACTTAGATGCTTATATACAGCTAGGACTCTCCCAGAGTGGTTTTTCATGAAGAACACATTGTGTGAACATTACATTTTAAACATACTCAAAGGGGAAAACAAAATGAAATAATTTATCCAGGAGAGACAGAAAATGAATAGACTGGAGTTACCAGTCACAAATATAATGCATGAGCACCGGCATCCTTGGGGACTTTCTTCCACTCAAATTCTTGTGCCACAAATACCGAGATGGAGATCAATTAGACCGGATCTACTGTTTAACCACACAAGATCAACAGACGAAACAAGATAGAGCACCAGTCTACATAGGCAAAGAGTGAGAACAATAACAATATATCATGTGATTTAAACTGGGTAAGAGGACACAGGATTTGGAACAGTAAATGGAAGCAGAACCAACAGATTTCAGGTCCTGGAGACAGAACATAAACTGAGTAGGGAAGATAGAAGGTAGTGGCTAGAGATTAGTATGACTGAACTTCAAATATGGAACAGATTGATAACGAAAAGACTATAGAGGATTTCATTTTGTTAGATAGTTATTGGGAATCGAACACAAAATCAATGGAGAAAAGAAATTCACTGAACTAAAATGCTAGACATTGAAAAGTTCTTCTATATGAATATTGAAATTATCAAGAATTATGAAATATGAGATAAATAGAATGTATTGTAATACAGACTACTAGTTGTCTACCATATTTTATTATTGATACTTCTTTTATTCCTTATTAACAGGATCTCATTTTTTTTAGAAATTATATATATATTTAACCTAAGAGTCCTTCACTTGAGGGTTAATGTCACAGAAAGGAAAACATTAAATAACACTCACGGTTTTCCTTATGGAAGCTAAAGTGGAGAGAACACAGGAGGACCTGAATACAGAACAGGCTCCTTACAAACAGACTAACAACCAAAGCCACATCCATATCCAGAGGGAGCCTGGCAGGTACAAGATGATACTTGGCCTAGTGTGTGCAGTCTACGTGCAGATGTGTCACTGACAAACAGAACTTGAAGGGATAAAGGAAAATCACCTGACTGACAACCACATAGCTTAGCAGGTGAACTGGAATGAGGAGGACTTTCCGTGGCAAACATCAAGTATCCAACCCCAGCAGGTTTCTTCCAATAAACTTATCTCCATCTCAACTTTGCCAAGAAGGTAGCAGAAAAGAGATCTACTTATTTAGGAATGCCTGATTAAAAAGCCTGACAACACTAAGTTTTGGTAAGGATGTGGTATCCCTGGAATTCTCATAAACAGCTGGCACTATTTTTCTGTACTGAGAAATGGCCTGAAGGTTGCTCATAAACACCTATGTACAATAGAACATAGCAATTCCAAATTATCCAAAATTAATCAACATATCCATTCTCACAAAGATTTGTATATAAATAAACAGTTCGTTTATAACAGTCAAAATATCTACTGGATCCAATGATTCAAACGCTTATTAACTGGTGAACAGATAAACAAATTGTGCTTGAGCATACAAAGGCACACTCTTAACAATAAAAGAAACAAAGTTTGACACATGGAACAACACAGACAAATCTCAACAATGTGATGCGGAAGCTAAATAAAGAACTCTCCACAGTATGTGATTCTATTTCTGTGTAATTCTAGAGAAGATAAAACTGTAGTGAAGGATCAGTGACTGAAGCCAAGGTAGGTGAGAACTGACAGCAAAGGGCTATGATGACGCCTTTTTGAATAATGGAAATGTTTCAAATTTGATTGTGTTAGTATTTACACATGGGTGTAAAAAAAGGAGGGTATAGCAAGTGGAAAAATTTCATCCGGCATGTTCTTGGGATGACTATGATTTTTTTTTTTTCAGTACTGGGAACGAACCTGGGGTCTTTGAACTGAGCTACAGTATCCCCAGCAGATAGCAAGTGGAAAAATTTCATCCGGCATGTTCTTGGGATGACTATGATTTTTTTTTTTTTCAGTACTGGGAACGAACCTGGGGTCTTTGAACTGAGCTACAGTATCCCCAGCCCTGTTTTTAATTTCTTATTTTGAGACAGGGTCTCACTAAGTTACTACATTGTCCATGCTGGGTTCGAATTTGAGATTCTCCTGCTTCATTTTAGGATGAATCATCATCTACGATGATTGTATTTTGAAGCCCTGCCAGATTTAACCAAAATGTAACCAAAACCATTTAAAACTGAAGTCTCAACTCCTGCCAGCTCAAATAGTGACACGATCAAAGAAAGCAGCCCTTCAGAGAAAGCAACAATAGAAGAGATTACGGATTAGAGAAATCAGATAAGAGCTTAGTCCAATTAAAGGTTAGCTGTGGACCAGTTCCAACTCAATTCAATTCTCAGGGGACTATAAATGAGTAGCGCCTCACTCTAAAAGCCAGACAAAGGAAAGAACACTAATTCCCTAGAAAGCAAAAATAAAACTTTATAACTAAAACAACTTTTATATTACAATGCTTGGAATCCAATAAAAATATAAAATATATGAACAACCAAGAAAATAAGATCAATACCAAAAGAAAAATAGAAGCAAACATCAATGACCCAAACATAAAATTGCTCATGTGGAATTACCACATAAGCAATTTTAGAAATCTGTTATTGATAAAAGAGTTTTCAGGAAGAGAAAAAAAGGCAGAGAGGTTAGATAATAGCAGAAAATGTATTTTTTAAAAATCTTAAAAAGATCCAAAATATAATTAATACTAAATGTAAAACTTTTAGCATTTGAAGTAAAAATTCACTAGATGGAGCTTAACGGTCAATCAGGCACTGCAGATGGCAAATAGACACAGTCCAACTGAAGTACAGGCCTCTCCAGGATAACATCGACACTTTTGGACCATACAGATGTTACTTGAGCCAAATGCTACGACACATTCTTTACCATGACTCCATGTATGTCAGCAGTTCTGAAAACAGCATGGTGGTGAAAACTGGCCCTCCACCTCCCCGACCAAGGCAATGTCATCAGAGCCGAAAGGACAGACTTTTATCATCTACTTGGTAGTGGCAGGTGGCACTCCCATTCTGCCACTACTCTTATGCTGGTGGGGTCAAGCAAGGAAGAGCACTTTTTACCTTTGTCTAGAAGTAGCTGTTAGAATATAGCAAGGATATCTGTTCACACTGGTTCTTTTCGATATAATTCTAGTAGCACAGTAAGTCAAGCCAAATAAAAAAACATATAT